ACTCTGAAGCCAGGAGTTTCTTCTGGGTCTCCCACGCGGGTGCAGGATCCCAAAGCTTTGGGCCATCCTCGACTGCTCTCCCAGGCCACAGGCAGGGAGCTGGATGGGAAGCGGGGCTGCCGGGATTAGAACCGGTGCCCATATGGGATCCCGGGCGTACAAGGCGAGAACCTTAACCACTTGCGCCACCGCGCAGGGCCCGAAATCTTCCACCTTCTTGGAGGGTGTGAGGAAGATGTTAAGTGTAACCTATCAAGAGTGTAACAGGTAACTTACAGACAGCAGACTCAAATCTGCATTAGACATAGCAAAAACCATAAAGACATACAGTGGGATCCAAGAGCAATACTGATAGCCACTTAACAGGAGGTCATACAGAGCAGGGGGTGGAGTCATTAGAGCAGAGCAGGACAGGAGGAGGCTTGCATCCCAACCCTGGAGACTCCCGGACCCTCACCAAGCACTATTAGTACGGGCACCAAGGACTGTATGGCACTGCCAAGTAGATCACCCTCGTAGGCCGAGAACCCTGAGGTGATCATATCGGATCTCCCACACGAGATAGAAGAAACCCAGATCCTTCCTCACAGGATCTAATGTCCTTGGAACAACAGCCCCAAATTAGATTAGACAGACAGAGACCAAGAAGGAACGCTTAGATCAGACAGGAAACAGTCAGCTTGGACTCCCTTACACCGTACTAGGTAGGATGCAAAGATCAGTCACTCCTCACTCACGTATTGAAGCTTTCCCTGCACAGCCCTCCTGAAACTGCTCTGCTCCTCAACTGTTAACATATGACATGTCTGAGTTATAAGCCTATTTGGACTATCCTAAAATTCACAAAATTCAGTAAAAATCAGTAAAAATCACACTTGAATACTGTAAGCTGCTAAATATAAAAATGAAAATAGACAGCTGAATAGTAATCTATAACCATTTTAAGGTGTCTAGCAGTCGGTTGTATATAAACTAAAATTGAAATGTCAAAGCAGTAGTCACAGGATGCGGTTAAGAACTTGCATTTTCTAGCATACTGGTCACTCAATACCATGTCAATTAACCTCATGATGTTGTAAACTGTTCTTGAAGTTGTGTAGTGTCTTATCATTGGAGGAGATGATATTCCACCAGCTCTACTTTCAGACCAGGGATGGTCTCCCAATGGAACTGTGGAATTTATCTGAACAATAAGATGCTGGACTCTCTACATGGTCCATGCTCGCAATAAAAGAATCATGACTGGATGTGAACTGTACTACTGTAACAATATGGAGGAATCTTATAAGAGGGGAGGGCATGGGGAGGGGTTGAGGGAATCCCAGAGCTTATGAAACTGTGTCATTAAATGAAAAAATAAAAAAAGTATTATGCTTTAGCATCATTAACAGCAACAACAAAGAATATCAGCTGATGGGCCAGTGTTGTGGCATCATGAGTGAAGTCCCATATGGGCAGACCAAGTCCTGGCTACCCCAAGTCAATCAAGCTCCTTGCTAATGTGCCTGGGAAAGCAGTAGAAGATGGCCCAAGTGCTTGGGTCCTGGCACTTACATGGGAGACCTAATTCTCCATGAGGTCAGCCCTGGTCCTTGTGACAACTTGGGGGATAAGTCAGTAGATGGAAGATCCATCTCTCTCCGTAACTCTGCCATTCAAATTCATTCATTCATTTAAAAAAAAAAATTGTGGGCCCAGCGCAGTAGCCTACTGGCTGAGGTCCTCACCTAACATGCCGGGGATCCCATGTGGGTACTCATTCATGTCCCAGCTGCTCCACTTTCTCTCCAGCTCCTTGCTTTTGGCCTGGAAAAGCAGTGGAGAATGGCCCACAGCTTTGGGACCCTGCACCCACTTGGGAGACCCAGAGGAGGTGTCTGGCTCCTGGCTTCAGAATGGCTCGGCTCTGATTGCTCTGGCCACTTGGGGAGCGAAACAGGAAATGAAGTATTATTCCATCTCTCCTTATCTCTGTAAATCTGACTTTTCAATACAAATAGACATATCATAGAAAAATAAAAGAGCCCAGCACAGTAGGCTAGTGGCTAAAGTCCTTGCCTTACACACACCAGGATCCCATACAGGCAATGGTTCGTGTCCCAGTGGCCCTACTTCTCATTCAGCTCCCTGCTTGTGGCCTGGGAAAGCAATCAAGGACAGCACAAAGCCTTGGGACCCTGCACTTGTGTGGGAGACCTGGAAGAAGTTCCTGGCTCCTTGCTGCAGATCGGTTCAGCTCTGGCTGCTGCGGCTACTTGGGGAGTGAAGCATCAGACGGAAGATCTTCCTGTCTCTCCTTCTCTCTGTATATCTGACTTTTCAACCACAAAAAAACAAAAAGCTGTTTTGCTAACTTTGTAGTACAGCAGATAAAGCAACTGACTGTGCGACTGGCACTCACACGTGTAAAGGTTCCTCTTCAGCTCCAGCTCCATGCTAATGAGCTGAGAAAGCAGCAGCAGAAGATCGCTCAAGTCCTTGGAGTCTAAACCTATGTGAGACGCCTGGATGAGCTCCCGGTTCCTGGCTTCAACCTGGCCCAAGTCTGGCCACTGCAGCCATTAAGGAGATGATCAAAAACAGGAGGTCCCCCCTTCTTTCTGTGCATTCCTTCTCAATGCACTCAAATAGTTATTTAAAGCTTTATTTATTTATTTATTTCTATCTGAAAGGCACAGACAAGCAGGGAGAGACAGAGAGAGAAAGAGATCTTCCATCTGCAGGTTCACTCCCCAGGGGGGTTCAAAGGCCAGAACTAAGCTGATCCAATGCCAGGAGCTTCTTCCAGGTCTCATACAATGGTTAGGGCTCCAAAGACATGAGCTACTCTGCTCTGTCTTCCCAGGCCATAAGCAGGGAGCTAGTTCAAAAGTGGTGAAGCCATGACACAAACCAGTGTCTACAAAGGATGCTGGTGCTGCAAGCGGGGGATTAGCCTACTAGGCTATCATTTCAGGTACCAATAAACAATTATTAATTTTTTTTAAGATTTATTTATTTATTGGAAAGTCAGATATACAGAGAGGAGAAACAGAGGAAGCTCTTCCGTCCAATGATTCATTCCCCAAGTGATTGCAAAGGCCAATGCTATGCCAGTCTGAAGCCAGGATCCAGGAACTTCTTCCGGGTCTCCCACACAGGTTCAGGGTCCCAAGGCTTTGGGCCGTCCTCGACTGCTTTCCCAGGCCACAAACAGGGAGCTGGATGGGAAGTGGAGCTGCCAGGATTAGAACCGGCATCCATATGGAATCCCGGGGCGTTCAAGGTGAGGACTTCAGCCGCTAGGCCACGCTACCGGGCCCCACCAATAAACAATTTTAAAAGAGAATATTAGTTGTACTACCATTTAAAATCTGCCACACATAAACAAAATACAAGAATATATGATGAGCCATGTCTAGGGAGGTAAAGGAAATGCCAAGAGGCAGCACAGAGAGTTGTAGCTGACTTGCGGTGTTATTACCCAACACAATAATACTGGCTGCATTGGTACATTCTGTCTCAGAATTAAATCAAACATGTTTTCTCCTTACCCACACCCCAGCCGCCATCTGAGCTTGTTAGAAGGAACATTTTGAACAGAGGCCACTAAAAGAATACTTCAACAAAACTGTCATAAACGTGGCTAAATTCTTACCAACACACTGCCAATTCTGCTTCATTATGTTCTGACTTGTTCTATGCTTATGGCAGGGCCTAAGTGAACAGGGTATAAAGGGGCAAGCTGCTTAACTGGCTGCTTGTGATGATAATGCAATCTCATATCTGAGTGCAGGTTCATGTCTCAGCTGCTCCACTTCTGAACTAGTTTCCTACAAGCACACCTAGAAGGCAAAAGTATCCATCGGGCCCTTGCCACTCATTTGGAAACACAGCAAGGTGCTGCAGGCTCCTATTTTGGTCCAGCTCAAACATGGCCATCATGGCCATTTAGGGAACGAACTAGTGGGTGGAAGATTTGTGTGTGTGGGACTGGTGCAGTAGCCTAACGGCTAAAGTCCTCGTCTTCTGTGCACTAGGATCTCATATGGGCACCAACCGGTTCGTGTCCCAGTTGGCCTGCTTCCCATTCAGCTCTCTGCTGTGGCCACGGAAAGCAGTGAATGATGGCCCAAAACCATGGGATCCTGTACCCATGCAGGAGACCCAGAAGAGGCTGCTTGCACCTGGCTTCAGACAGACTCAGTTACAGCCACTGCGGCCACTTTGGGAGTGAATCAGCAGACAGAAGACCTTCATTTCTGTATATCTGAGTTTCAAAAAAAAATAAATGAACAAATCTTTTTAAAATTTTGTATTGCAAAATCAGATATATACAGAGAGGAGGAGAGATAGAGAGGAAGATCTCCCATCCAATGGTTCACTCCCCAAGTGACCATCACAGCCAGTGCTGCACCGATCTGAAGCCAGGAGTCAAGAACTTCCTCCAGGTCTCCACGGTTCCAAGGCTTTCAGCTGTCCTCGGTTGCTTTCCCAGGTCACAAGCAGGGAGCTGGATGGGAAGTGGAGCTGCCAGGATTAGATCCGACGTCCATATGGGATCCCAGGTGCGTTCAAGGCGAGGACTTTAGCTGCTAAGGCCACCGCGCCAGACCCCAACAAATAAATCTTAAAAACAAACAAAAGATCTGTCTATGCATCCCTTTCTGTTATTCTACCTTCCAAATAAATAAATCCTTTTTTTTTTTTTTTTTAAAAAAAAAGACAGGATGAACTACATACAGGCCAACAAAACACTTCACCACAAACAGTTTAAGAAACAATACCAAGAAAACCATATTTAAGGAAATATACAATAACAGCAAGGACATGGGTTTTGGAGGGACAGATTAGTGAAGACACAGGTAACCTATGCAATGCCAATAACCCAAAACTGACACAGAAGTTCAAGGTTACCAAGCCTGCAAGAGCAGTTTAACACAAAAGAAAGGAACGATTAGACTTTGAGCACTGCATCCCACCACTTCCCTCCCGTCAAAGGCCACAGCTGGGGGACTGACCTCAGGGCAGCGGCATGGTACGTGTCGACATAATCAGAAATGAAGAGCTCCCGGTTCTTGATAACAGGGTCTGTGATGACAAGTTCTCTTCCAGAGTCTGCCAAAAAATAAATTATTATCAATTAGTTAGGATAACTGAAGTTCCCAAACAAGTAGGAAAATTTCATAAAACATTTCCTGCAGGTTCACCTCCCAGTAAAGAGCCTAAGAAATAGTGAGCTGTGATTCGCACTCTCAGTGAGCTGCAGAGGAACAGCAAAGTAACAACAAGGTTTACAGCTTGATTGACTCAGGACGGATCCTGCAATTTTCCTTGTCCTTTGCTAAATCCTTCCAGTTTGCTGACATGTGTTAATAAGCATTAAAAGAAAAACGAGAAAAATGGGACAGGCATTTGGTATAATGGCTGGTATCGCTTGAACACCCACATTCCGTGCCAGAAGCTCTGGGTTTGAATCCCAACTGCACCTCCAATCTCAGCTTCCTGATAATGCACACCGGGGGAGCCCCAGCTGGACAGCTCAAGCACTAACATCCCCGCACCAACATGAGACTCCAGCTGAGTTCGAGGCTCCTGGCTTCAGCCTCGCCCAGCTTTGCCTGTCAAAGGACATTTAGGCAACAAACCAGTGGATGAAAGATCAATCTGCATCTCTCTTGGTCTCTTTCTGTCTCCCAAATAAATACCCTTTCAGAAGAGAAGAAAAACTTATTTCCCACTAATTTTTCAACTACTAAAATATCTTGTGATATTGTTCACTATTTTTTATTGCTAAATATTCCAAAATGGATTGAAACCACATAGACTTAAAAACATTACCAAGTCAATATTTTAAAATGAAACAAGTTTGACTCTTTGAATAGGCATTTTCACAGTTTCAAAGAAGTAAACTAATAAAATACAAAATAAAACATCATTTCAAGACTGTGACAAGACAAGCGGCATGCTCACTTAGCACCTCCCAGCACAGCCCTGCCGGGCGACGGGAGGGACAGCACAGCCCTGCGGGGCGACGGAGGGGACAGCACAGGCTTCAGGGCCGGACAGCGCCCCCGGGCCCAAAATGATCAGCAAGTGACAACGGAAGTCAACTAGCACCTCACAGCCTGTATATGTCTAAACAATATAACACACATTCCACACACATCTCGTGTGTCAGTGACGTTAGCAGAACCACAGCGCTGGGAGAGAAAACAAGAAAAACAATCGGTAACCGGGAACTACCTTCCCAGTGTTCTTGGAATCAAGCGGAATCCTAACAAGTAATTCACAGAGCTCTGTTGAGAGAACTCAAGCGTCCCACCTGGTACAAAGCATCTCAATAATACAAGTGATTGCAAAGAAAAACAAATATATTCCAAACGAGTTGTAAATATGACTTGCTTGTCATTAGGTGAGAACAAGAATTTAAAAACTGATATTTTTATGTGAAAGTCCGAATCTACAGAGGAGAGACATATGAATGAGCTCTTCTTCCCACTGGTTCACTCCCTGAATGGCCACAATGGCCACAGCTGCGCTCACCTAAAGCTAGAAGCCAGCAGCTTCTTCTAGGTCTCCCACGTGGGTGCAGGGACCAAGGACTTGGGCCATTCTCTGCTGCTTTCCCAGGCTGTAAGTCAAGAGCTGGGTCAGAAGCGGAGCAGCTGGGACATGAACTGGCACCCATAAGGGATCCCAGCAGCACAAGGCAGAGGATTGCCTTGCTACACCACCATGCCAGCAAAGAACAGAAATTTTAAAACCCGAATTTACTGTTATTTCTGGTAAGTCCTATCTCAAAGGAAATGCTATCATCAGAACATGTCTAGAGGTTTAAATTAAAAGATAAAAAACCAACAATGATAGCAATTAGGAAAAATAAGGACATTGCAATGTAGTCTTACTCATAAAACCTTTTTCACAAAGAAAACTTTGACAGTGATCATCCACATTTAAAGAATGTTTCTAGAAAGAACCTAACTCAAAACTAAGCAAATAAGACTCAAACCAGTGCATATATTTACCATTTTCATTATGTCGATCCTGAACCAAATGTTGATACACAGAATCTGGAACTTCAGACTGACGGTAGTACCATTTGACGTTCATGAGCAGATGGTCCCTCTTACTCTGAAAAGGAAAATCTAACAGCATTAGGAACAGGATTTCAGGGGCCCGGAAGTGCACACCACACCCATGAAGCAAAGCCGCTGTCAGCAGGCGGACGGCAGAAGGGCCCCCAGTGTGATGAACTAACTCATTCCATGTTACAATTTCAGTTACCCTAGCCCCGTGCATCCTACTACCTTAACCCTGAATCATGTTGGCAAATATTCACAATTGCTCTCAGCACACGTCCATTCAATGAGCCAGGTACTGCACAAACTCAGCTCTCCCAGGCTGTCTGAGTCTCCCTCCACTTCAGTGCCACACTTGTACGGAACAAGGCAGGTGGGTGTGGGCTGCTGCGCGCCCAGAGCAGGAACCCGCCTTAGTGATCACAAGGCTCCGGTGGACGGAACAGTTTGTACACGGACAACGGAGAGTTCCAAGTTGACCAGGCTCCTGTAAATGCCTACAGAACACTTAACCATGGAATCATTAATAAACTTAATTGTGTCCAGCTCATTAAAGAACAGGGGTCAGACCTGCTTTTCCGCTATGGGGCAGCAGCTTGAGGCAGGCTTCTGAGCGCTGTTTCATGAAACCAACAGCGCATTAAGGTTTCCCTTGACCTCAGAAACTACTTTACTGCCCTTCCCCCATTCTTTCTTTCTTTCCTTCCTTTCCATATTAGGGAACACATTCCATCTTTTTCATGTACACAGACTTAAGAGCATAACGAGATTCCCACCTCCCCATCCATCCTCCTTCCATTCTTATTTTACAAACCCAAAAGGTGACCTCAATTCCACACCCCTTCACCCCTTCCTCATGGGCCTACTGGTTAGAAATGAATGAGAGTAAAGTTCAAGAAATGCCTCATGCTTGTAAACGACATGTCTTTACACTAAGGGATGTCAAAGGAGGCCTCCTTAATGAAGGAAAACGTTTCCTGGTTTAACAAGAAGTCATAAATACAAGCACAGCCTGTGCTAACCCTTCCAAGATGGCTCCAAAGAATCTTTACTGAAATACTCAGGCCATTTACAGAACCAGAGTAAACAAACTGCTATCCCAAAGTAAATATCAAGCATACCAAGACTGCGAGTCTGTGACTACTCCGAGCAGACACGCCTAGCAGGACAGCACATCCCTGCTGCTGTGGCTAACCCTGCCTGTGGAGAGAGAACATCCACACGCAGAGTCCTCTCTGTGCCCGTCCAGGTTTCTTCAGAATGCACTGACAACACAGCCACTACACACTTGATGCTACACATGGGAAAGAGAAGTAAATGTTGTGTGTAGCGAGCAGTAAAGAGAAAGAACAATTACTTGAATGGATCCCAACAGAGTCTTTCTAGGCTTAAAGACAGTCAAGAAATAAGACACAGGTGACCCACACAGCCGCCTGCATGCAGCACAAGAACACGACCCGGGGACATGAACGAGAGCCCACATCCTGACTGCAGCCTGGCCTGCCCCACAGGCAAGGCGAGCACAGCCAGCCTGAGTGGGAGACGGCACAGGTCAGTCTGATAGGCGGGGTCGGAGGTCACGCAGGGCAGCCCAAGGATTTTTGCGCCAGGAACTCAGGAAGGTAAAGGGTCAATCTTTTTTTTTCCCCCCAGACACTACAAAAGCCACAGTTTCTTCCCTGGGCAAGACAAGAAACTGCAGGGTCAGGAAGACCTTAAACACAAAGCAGGGAGAGAACAGGGAAGGGCTGGGGAGGAGCAGCCTACAGCTGGATGGCAAGTGGAGCTGCCAGGATTAGAAGCGGCACCCATATGGGATGCTGGCGCGTTCAAGGCGAGGACTTTAGCCACTAGGCCACGCTGCCAGGCCCATCAAATAAAAATTTTTTTAAAAATCTTTGCTTAAAAAAAAAAAAAAAACTAGGCCCTGTGCAGCAGCCTAGTGGCTGACTATCCTCGCCTTGCATGTGCTGGGATCCCATATAGACACCGGTTAGTATCCCATCCAGCTTTCTGCTTGTGGCCTGGGAAAGCAGCAGAAGATGGCCCAAAGCCCTAGGACCCTGCACCAGCGAGGGTGACCTGGAAGATGTTCCTGTCTCCTGGCTTCGGATCAGCTCAGCACCAGCCACTGCGATCACTTAGGGAGTGAATCATTGGACAGAAGATCTTCCTCTCTGTCTCTAGCTTCTCTCTATATATCTGACTTTGCAATTAAAAAAAAAAAAGACCTTTAAAAATAAATAAAAATCAACCAACCAAACAACAACAATAAAGCAGTATCAGAGCCAGAACTTGGCTGCAGCACCACAGTGCAGAGAGGGCGGTGCTGGGGAACCTGTGACTGCTCAACCCAGCTCTGCCCTGGTCCAGCCACAGGACTCTGGGCTTGCCACTGAGACTTTCTGACAGGCTCCTGTGCAGGGAACTGGTGGGGCTGAACCTGACCTGAAAGAACTAACCACTTTAAAGGACAGAAGCAGTAGATCTCGGTGCTCAAAGAACCTGTCCCCGGTGAGTGAGTGACCGACTGATCGTAGCCAGTGTTTCACAGAAAACAATTCTTTACTGAGAATGGCAGGAATCATTTCTTCACCAGAACAGGGCAACTTCTGGGGAAAGAGAATGATCTGGAAGTCAGAGAGCTGGTAAGAGATGGTGCAATGATGACAGCAAAGAATCACTCGGCAGAGCAAGCACCAGCGTCTCACCAGCTACACACCCCTCCCGAAGCGTAAAGATGTCCAATGTTAACAATTATGTTTTACAATGCTTGTTTATCAAAACCAAACCAGAAATTCTGACGCCTTGTGAGGTATGTCCCCATTACCAGGTGCTCTCACTGATTTCACCCAGAAAACCCTCAGGTTTATTTGTGTTAGCTCCATGATCGCCAACAAAAGACATTACAAAGGCAGCTGCAGGATCCTCTCCAATGTGCTACCGCTCAGTAACCAGGGAGTGGCAGCATTGCATTAAAAGCATTCAGAATCCTAAGACAGTAAACACAACTGCAGAAGTCACAATATTCCCAATTTAACCGTCAAATATCCAAAAAAACAGAAGCCTTATCCTGTCGCTTGGGGAACTAGCCTAAACTGAGGGAATCTAAGCTTGCAGTTCTACCTAAAATTATCACTGACCTCAGTGGGATCTCCTGACAACCTGAAAGGTGAATGAAATGATGCTTTTATGCTAGATTACTTTCCTTGATTAAAAAACAACAATAACAACAACAACAACAACAAAAACAAGTGGGTAAAATGATGTGCAAGAAATCTCTGATCTTTTCAAAAAAAGATTTATGTGAAAGGCACAGGGAAAGGGGAGAGAGGGAGATGGGACTTCCACCCACAGCTCCACTCGCCACACGGCAGCAACAGCCAGTTCTCAGGCAGCCTGAAGCGTGTGCCTGGCAGCAGCCAGACGCCCGGGCCGTCCTCCACTGCCTCCCCAGGACCATGAGCAGGGAGCTGGAGCACGCACTGGACCTCACGGGAGGTTTAACCCACTGCACTACAATGTCAGCCCCTAGGGTGCTTTCTACAGCTGCACAAAAGCTTTGTCTGATCATTCTCTTCCTAAAGGTTTGCAGATCAGAAAGTCACACGCAGGGACACTGAGGAAGCAGACAGCACGGCCTCTCCCGGGAAATGTTCCCAAAGCCACCGGGGTCACACAGGAGTGGCTGGAAATCTTCAATTCCTACCTTCACTAGCCTAAGAATCTGCTCAAAATCAGAAGACTAAAGCCAGAAATAAATCACGGTTCATTTAATTTCAATCAGCATGCCTGGGTTTCAACTTGGCTTTGGAAAAAAAAAAAAACAGAAAGGAGAGAGACAGAAGCTCTTCCATCCACTGGTTCACCCCTAAATGGCCACAACGGCTGGAACTGGGCTGATCCAAAGCCAGGAGTCAGGAGCTTTTTTTAAAGTCTCTCCAGTGAGTGCAGGGTGCCAAGACTTTGGCCCATTCCCCACTGCTTTCCCAGGCCACAAGCAGGGAGCCGGATGGGAAGTGGAACAGCTGGGATATGAACCATGAGCCCAAATGGGATGCCAATGTCACATGGTAGAGGATTAGCTGGGTGTGTCATGGTGCCAGCCTCAGGCTTTGCAAATTACTAAACTGTGTGACTCTGGGCAAATAACATCTCCGAGTTTTGATACTGGCACCAGACCAGGGAGAAGCTGAAATACTGCCTCCACTGTCTCTTCTTAAAACAGGGCAGAATTGGGTTTTCTCTCTCCCTACCTCCCTGTTTCTTTCTTATCTCTCCCTCTTCTCTACCTCCCTTTTCCTCAACCTCCTTCAAATAAAGCAAAAAAAGTAAAAGACTTTGGACTTACTCTACAAATCATCACAGTATCTGGTGCCTTATCTCCTTCAGCTACTGGGTTACTAACTGGTCTGTTTCCTCTTGTGAGTGTGGATTGAGAACAAGGACATTTCTCACTGTAACTGAGTAAACATCCTAGAATGCTCTTTAATCTCCCAGGGTTCAGGGTGCCCGAAAGGATTGCAGGATGCAGGAGCCAGCTTCCACAGGACTGTGATCCGTGCAAAAGCCAGGAGGGGGAAACACCCCCTCCCCAGGGCCTACCAGTTCATTACACACTCGCAGACAAAATTGACCCTGTTTATGATGACTGATTATCCATTTTCTTTTTTTTTTTTAAAGATTTATTTTTATTATTTTTTATTGGAAAGGCGGATATACAGAGAGGAGAGACAGAGAGGAAGATTTTCCGTCCGATGATTCACTCCCCAAGTGAGCGCAACGGGCCGATACTATGCCGATCCGAAGCCAGGAGCCTCTTCTGGGTCTCCCACGCTGGTGCAGGTTCCCAAAGCTTTGGGCCGTCCTCGACTGCTTTCCCAGGCCACAGGCAGGGAGCTGGAAGGGAAGCGGGGCTGCCGGGATAGAACCAGCGCCCATATGGGATCCCGGGCGTGCAAGGCGAGGACCTTTAACCACTTGCACCACCACGCCGGGCCCGAGGATTATCCATTTTCAAACAGATACATGCAGGCACTACGAAGGCGTTTA